CACCTTGTTGTCTCGGATTCTCCAGCATCTGCAGTTCCTACTATCTCTGATCCAATTTCCAAGACTTGGTCCAAAGCGATGTATGCTATGCCATTTTAAGTATTCATCTAAACACTACTTAAAGCGTAACAGTTCTCTTCTCTACTACCCTTTTAGGCAGCGAGTGCCATATAGCCACTAACTGTAACAAGAAAGTGGCTCACTACCAGATACCGGCAACAAATGCTGGTGGTTTTTATATATAGGCATGTATCAGATAATTTTGAAAAAACTTTGGCACAAGTCAACATCTATAAAAGTTAACAAATGTAAATACTGTGGTATCCAAAAACTTAATGTTTTCAATGTATGTGTAGCTTTAGTTTTAATGGAACAATAATGAATATTGAGTATATAGTTGAATTCTCCTAATTCTGCTCCTGTGAGTCCAAACCCCATTCATTGACATAAATACAAAAGGCAGTGTTATGATGTAACTGAATCAGCAAGTAAAGGAGTTAGAGAAATTATAAAATCAAACAGTAGCCCTCAAATCTACTTGAAAGAAAAAGAAATATTTTGATGCCTGACCTGGCATCACACGAGCATTCAAATTCACACCCACATTACTTGTTTGTGTGTAAAGCAGCTTAATCTGGCTTGACGGCTGCATCCTGTACATGTAGCAGCATGAGAAAGGTAGCTTCCAGAGTTGTTGAAATTTTTAAGATGTTCTACCCTTCTAAGGTATTTTGAGGTAAGCTAGGTCAAAATCCTGGAACCCCCTTCCCAGCAGCATTGCAAATATCTGCAAAAGTCTAGAAGGCAGTTCATGACCACCTTCTTGGGGGCAATTAGCAATGGACAATGAATGCTGCACCAGTCAGTCATGCCCACATTCCATGAAGGAATTGTTTTAAAAAATTCAGATCTGAAGTGGTTACTTGAGGTTGAGTTATGAGTATGCATGATACACACTGAGCAATAATCTGATTGGCTAACCATTATCCCTTAGGAGAGCTTGGTGCCCTATTTTTGGAGTTAAGCTTGTGTGGTAAGAAAATGGCTTGGGCCCTGTTTACAAGATTGGCCTTATTGGTAACCTTGAAGCTAGAGGAATCCCAATTTTGTAAATGGATCAGTGAAAAGTAGGCTTGTGGTAGACTGCAATGGAGAATGCATTAGTAAATTTATCAACTAGCACATCAAGGAAAGGAAGCTCATCAGACTGCTCCAAGTCAAAGGTGAATTTGAGCATGCAGCAGAGAAAGTGATTCTTACAAGACTGCAGATTCAAACATACTTTGCACTTTCTTGTATGTTAAAGTTCAATTTGACTTGCATGGTTGATGCTACCTGCAAAACTTTGTGAAACTTGGCTTAATTTTGTGAATTAATGTATTTGAAGAATAACTTTCCCCTTTGCTATAAGTAAATACCATGATGGTTGGATGCTTCTAGAACATATAGAACATAGGACAGTAGAGCACAGTACAGGTCCTTCGGCCCACGATGTTGTGCCGAACTTTTGACCTAATCCTAAGGTCTATCTAACCTTCACCCCTACCTTATACTATCATCAATATGCCTATCTAATAGCCGCTTAAATACCCCTAATGAGGCCAAGTCCACTCCCCTCACCCGCAATGCATTCCACGCCCCGACCACTCTCTGAGTAAAGAACCTACCTCTGACATCTCCCCTATATCTACCTCCACTCACTTTAAAACTATGCCCCCTCGTAATAGCTACCTCCACCCTAGGAAAAAGTCTCTGCCTGTCCACTCTATCTATACCTCTGATCATTTTGTACATCTCTATCAAGTCACCTCTCATCTTTCGTTGTTCTAAAGAGAAAAACCCTAGCTCTCTCAACCTTTCCTCGTAAGACCTTCCCTCCATTCCAGGCAACATCCTGGTAAATCTCCTCTGCACCTTTTCCAACACTTCCACATCTTTCCTACAGCTACGAGTCAGCACTTAACTGCTAAATGTGGTTTCTGTGCTGCACTAATCAGCAAATTTTGTGGGCCCCAAACAACGATCATTGAGGAAATAAAGTAAGTAAATGTAGTAAATTATAACTAAATTATAAATACAAGTAATACTTTTAATTCTTAAGGTGTCTGTTTTATAACTTGCTTTATATTGTATTCTGAAGGTAGTGCATTCAGTTTCAGAATGGACAACACTAAATCAACACTGTTAAAAACAGTTGAAGAACTGACAGATGAGGAGTACACCAAACTTCAATTTTTGCTGGGAGAAACCCCTGGGAAAACAAAAATTCCAAGAGGAAAGCTACAAAACAAGTCAAAAGTGGAGCTCGTACAAACATTAATTAGTTACCATGGCAATCAGGCAGCCAAAGTTCTGACAAAAGGATTGTTGAATATACCTCGCAAGGATCTTCTTCCAATCAAAGTTGGTGAGTATTATTTGTCAGATAATGTGATGTGGAGCTGAGGTTGGGGATCCAGTTCCTTCAACAATATTCCTTTCTCTAATTGACTGGAAAAGCCAGGGGCTCCCTAATCAGATGCCAAGACTTCTGGCCATGATTAATCCCTGCCTTCTGATCCAGAGAATATCAGTGCAAGGTACATGCCCGTTACAGTCATTTGTTCCTTCTGGAAGTGTCCAGTGAAGATGCTCAGCGTTTTTGGGAAGACCTGTCAAAGGTCAGCCTGGAGATACTCAGTGACTTGATGCTCTGTTTTAACTGATGGAGCTGACTGGTACCCTTGAAGGTTATGTTCCTGTTGCTGGATAAGCTAGCCATAGAGTCCCACAGGAAGTTGGGGGGCGGGGGGGGTTATTGTCTGCCAATTGAGGAAATGACCCTCATGTTCAAAAAAACTCATTCTTACCTCTTTAAAAACAGGCACCCCCATCTCACTCCTCCACGTCGACTGCTAAAATCATTGCTGGCCAATGTGGCACACCCTAATCAGTTCTGCACGCTGTGACAAAGCTTCATAATAATTTACGATCTTAGGTTCTATAGAGGAGAAATGTTGTATAACTTTAACTTTGATTTGTATTTCTATATTGTGCATATTAAGAAGGGGAGACATAGTTTCTGGTTGATATTAGGTTTGTTCTGAGTGGTGCCAGATGTCTGAATTCTATTGACATATGTATTTTAGTGAAAGGTTACAGCTTGATGTTGAGTTTGAGGTGAACACTTCAGCGCATTAGAAATAATGGTAGAAGAGAAAAGTTTTTGTAGCCTAGAGATAGGTATCCAGTGTCACAGAAAGACAGAACCATTCAGAAGGTCAGGCAATGATGTAGGTGCAGTCAGAGTGAAAAGGTGCTGATGGTTACGCACTTTCCAAAGGTCGGCTGTGTAAAAAGCCCTGAGTGGCTTAAGAGAAAACATCCATACACACACAACTAGCTGAAGCTGAAGGTTTAGAAAACCCAAGTGTTAGTTCTATAAGTGTTTAGACATAAGTAAGAAAGCTTCAGAAACCAGTTACAGCCATGTCAACAGCTGAGATCATAACAATGATTCTAGGCCAAACAGTCCTCTGCTTTGGATCAGGTGACTGATGGACATAGAATCCCTACAGTGTGGAAACAGGCCCTTCAGCCCAACAAGTCCACACCGACCCTCAGACCCACCCAGACCCATCCCCATATAACCCACCTAATCTACACATCCCTGAACACTATGGGCAATTTAGCATGGCCAATCCACCTAACCTGCACATCTTTGGACTGTGGGAGGAAACTAGAGCACCCGGAGGAAACCTACGCAGACGCGGGGAGAATGTGCAAACTACTCACAGACAGTTGCCGGAGGGTGGAATCAAACCCGGGTCCGTGGCGCTGTGAGGCAGCAGTGCTAACCACTAAACCACCATGTCGCCCTGACTAGCAAGGTGACCAGAGTCTGGTACATAGCAGATGGCAGAGAAATGGGCCATGTGTTATCATAGAAGGCATCACAGTACCCAAAGTGGAGTGATGTTTGGCTCACAACCAAAGCTATTGAGACACTAACCTCACCTCTCACTGTAGTGGGGCATCAAGGAGATTAAACATCCCCAACTGAATTGATCCCTGATAAGAAAGAAAAATTCTCATTGGTTTCCCAAAGACTCATAAAATGTTCTTGGAAACTAGCACCTGAACTTGAGCTATCTCTCAATACTCCCCTCCATGCCATTCTGTTCGGTGCAGAAAGGATTCCTGTGCAGGCTGCTCCTACACATTCTGTACTTCTTTCTGCTAGTTTGGGAGTCATTTTTAAAGATTATTATTCATTCAGAAGGTGAAGGCATCATTGGTTAGGGAAGCAATTATTGCTCATCCCTAAATTATCCTAGAGAAAGCAGTGATAAGCTGTTGTCTTGACCCACTGCAATTCTTGGGGTGAAGGAACATCCACAGTGCAGCTAGGAAGGGATTTCCACAACGTTGACCCAACAACATTGAAGGAATGGTGACATAGTTCCAAATTGGGTGGCGTGGACTTGGAGGGGATCTTGCAAGTAGCGGTGTTCCCATGTATCTACTGCCTGTGGCCTTCTGTAGAACAGGTATCGTGGATTTGAAAAGTGCTGTCAAGGGAGCCTTGATGATTTACTACATTGCGTCTGGTAAGATGGTGCACACAGCTGCCACTTTCACATCAAGTTACCATGTCAAGGTGGTGGGTGTCCCCAGATGCAGCCTGTTTAACATGATGACCATCACTGGAAATGTAGCATGAGACAAACTCATGGGCTAAAAGTAGATAATGTCCCTGGCCCTGATGGCTTGTATTGTAGGATCCTAAAACGTGTAGCTATAGAGATATTGGATGCAGTAGTTGTAATTTTCCAAAACATTCTTGGATTCATAGAGTCATAGAGATATACAGTTCGGAAACAAACTCTTTAGTCCAACTCATCCATGCCGACCAGATATCCTAAATAAATCTAGTCCCATTTGCCAGCATTTGGCCATGTCCCTCTAAACCATTCCTATTCATGTACCCGTCCAGATGCCTTTTAAATGTTGTAATCATACCAGCCTCCATCACATCCTCTGGCACCTCATTCCTGCGTGAGAAAGTTGCCCCTTTTAGGTCCCTTTTATATCTTCGCCTCTCACCTTAAACCTATGCCCTCTAGTTTTGGACTCCCTCACCCTGGGGAAAAGATCTTGTCTCTTTACCCTATCCATGCCCAACATGATTTTATAAACCATTGTAAGGTCACCACTCAAATTCCGATGCTCCAGGGAAAATGACCCCAGCCTATTCAGCCTCTCCCTATAGCTCAAACCCAGCAACCCTGGCAACATCCTCATAAATCTTTTCTAAACCTTTTCTAGTTTCACAACATCCTTCCTGTAAGAGGGAGACTAGAATTACATGCAGTACTCCAAAAGTGGTCGAGCCAATGTGCTGTAAAGCCACAATATGACCTCCCAACTCCTATACTTAATGCACTGACCAGTAAAGGCAAGCATACCATACCAGCCTTCTTCACTATCCTATCTACCTGCAACTCTACTTTCAAGGAACTACAAACTTGCACTCCAAGGTCTCTTTGTTCGGCAACACTCCCCAGGGACCTAACCATTAAGTGTACAAGTCCTGCCCTGATTTGCCTTTCCAAAATGCAGCACCTCAAATTTATCTAAATTAAACTCCATCTGCCACTCTGCGGCCCATTGGCCCACTGATCAAGATCCCATAATCCTCTGAGGTAATCTTCTTCTTCTGTCCTACTAACCATATCTCCTGCGTTCACATCCAAATCATTGATATAAATGACGAAAAGCAGTGGACCCAGCACCAATCCTTGTGGCAACTGCTGGTCACAGGCCTCCAGTCTGAAAAGCAACCTTCCACCATCATCCTCTGTCTTCTACCTTTGAGCCAGTTCTGTATCCAAATAGCTAGTTCTCCCTCTATTCCATGTGATCTAACCTTGCTAACCAGTCTACCATGTGGAACTTTATTGAAAGCCTCACTGAAGTCTATATAGATCACATCCACTGCTCATTCCTCATTGTTACTTCTTCAAAAAAGTCAATCAAGTTAGCAAGACATGATTTTCCACACACAAAGCCATGTTGACTATCCCTAATCAGTCCTTGCCTTTCCAAATAATACTTGTAAATCCTCTCCCTCAGGATTCCTTCCAACAACTTGCCCACCACTGATGTCAGGCTCACTGGTCTATAGTTCCCTGGCTTTTCCTTACCACCCTTCTCAAATAGTGACACAACGTTAGCCAACCTCCAGTCTTCTGGCACCTTCTGGAGAAGTACCAGAGAATTGGAAAACTAGCAATGTGATACCCTTCAAGACGGATAAAACTAAATAACTGATCATTGACTCTAGAAAGAAGGGAGGAGAATATGCCCCCATCTACATCAACGGAACAGTGTCAAGTTCCCCAGACTGATGGTAACTGACAACTTACCCTGGATATCCCACATTGATGGGACGGTCAAAAAGACACAGCAACGCCTCTTCTTCCTCAGGAAGCTCAGGAAATTTGGCATGTCCATAAGGTCCCTCACCAACTTCTGCAGATGCACCAGTGAAAGCATACAGTCTAAGTCTGGATGCATAATGGCCTGGCATGGCAACTGATTTGCCAGGACCATAAACTACAGAAGATGGTGTACACAGCCCAAACCGTCATGGAGCCAATCTTCCATCCATGGACTCCATTTACACAGCTCACTGCCACAGAAAGGCTGCCAACATCATGAAGGACCCATTGCACCTCAGTAATAATTTCCCACCACCTCTTCCAACAGGCACAAGATACAGAAGCCTGAACAGCACATCAGCAGGTTCAAGAACAGCTTCTTCCCGGCTGTTATTAGACGGAGTGGACCTCTAGCATCAAATAGTGCTGATCTTGCTAATGTTGATCTTGCTTAGCATGTGCCCAGTGCAATGTAACCTATATGCCCCTGTCTAAGTCTTTTTGATCTGTACATCCTTGCTTACTATGATGTGCCTCTACTGCTTATAAGCAAAGCTTTTCACTGTATTTCGGTACATGTGACAATAAATCAATCAATCAATGCAAAACAAAGGTAACTATAAGGCTAATTAGCCTAACATCTATTGTTGGAAAAGTATTGGAATCAATAATTCAGGAAGTAACAGCAGAACATTTGAAAATTCAGAATCTAATCAAGCAAAGTCAGCATAGCTTCATGAAAGGGAATCATGTCTGACTAATTTATTATTATTTTGAGAGAAAGTCTCAACCAGTGTGTATAGAGGGGAACCAGTAGATAGGTTGTCTTTGAACTTCTAGAAGGCATTCAACAAGATACCTCACAAAAAGTTGTCATAAGATAAGAGCCCCTGGTGTTGAAGGTAGTATATTGGTGTGGATAGAGAATTGGAGAATGGACAGGAAACAGCAAATGGAGACAATGGGTTCTTTTTCAGGTTGGCAA